CCCTCCTCTGACATGAGGGTTGTGGCATCTTTTAGGGGCTTGAGGGCTTTTACAAGATCCTCTGCATGAGAGATGTCCAGCTCACTCAAAGTGCAGAGGTCTGCCTCTCCTCTTCTCACCTGCTGAGAAAGTAAAGCTGCAGAGATTTCAGGCTGCTGCTCCAAAAACCTGTCCACCATTTCTAGGGCACTGTTCCACCTGGTAATGACGTCTGTTTTTAGCATGTGATGAGGCAGGCCTAACAGCTTTTGCTTCTCCTCGAACTGGTGCTTTGCAATGGGGCTGCGGTGAAAAAATGAAGTAATACGTCTAATCTTCCCAAGTAGTCTGGCAACAGAGGGCAAGCGGAGCGCTCGCTGAGTCGCGAGGTTTAGCGTGTGTGCATAACATCGCACATGCACAAATCCCCCCAGCTGAGCAGCAACAACCATGTTTGATGCGTTGTCGGTCACTAACACCAAGTCTCTCGTGGGAAACTGCCATTCCTCAGCGACTTTTTGTATTAGGTCAGCTATATTAGAGCCTGTGTGACTCTCGTAGACAGCCCTAGTTTGCAAAACATGGGACAACAACCTCCAGTCATCCGAGATATAATGGGCTGTTACAGTGATGTACGAATCCGTAGCAACAGATGTCCAGGCATCACAAGTCAATGCTATTTTACCTGCTTTTTTCAGCGAGGTCCTTCTGCGTTCACATCTGCGTGGCAGCGTTGAAGGTGATTCCTCATGTTTGTTGTGTTGCCAAAATATTTTATTTTCACCTCACACATCCTACACATAGTGTAGCTTTTATCAAGTGTCCGTTTGCCATCTTTCTCGGTTTCTAAAAAAACAAAATGCTTCTAAACATCGGCTTTTAACGTTGCAGGTGCCGCTCTAATGTGTGTAGCTTCGGCCATTTTGTCATGTACTAGCGCCTCAGTGAACGCAGACATACTACGTCTGATGTAAGAAATGCACGTAAACGTGCTAGTAGCGCATGCATTCATCTCTGTGACCGTGGGGCCGATAAATTCCGATAGAATGTATTGCAAACGAGCACAAATCTGACTTTTTTCATTTAAACTTAAGACATCGATTATTTAAATCTCTGCATCGATTCAGTATCGTTTAATGCAGAACAACGATGCATCGAAAAAACAATAATTTTTCCCACCCCTAGTCCTTATAGGGATCATCCATCTTTTACACCTTCATGCAATCACACATGTATATGACTTTCGTTCTTCAGATGAGAACACAAATATTTTAGGGGGAAAAAATCCATATTAATGGATTTTTTTTTTATATTAATATATCTGCATATAATACAAGTGGATGAGACATCCGAACATGATGCATCAAAAACTACACAAAGTGAACGTGCAGGGTCACTTATGCCGAGTTCACACTGCATGATTTTCAAACTCATCGGATCGCCGTTGTTTTCACACTGCGTGACTATCTGGGGTAGCATTCAGTTGCTGCTGTGTTCACATTGCACGATGGATCGGCGACAGGGGGTTTCACACTGCATGACTTCACAATAGGAAGAATCGCCGACATCTCTGTCTGGTCCGCAAACTACGTTTCACAACAAAACACTGCGAGAAGTGATAAGGAAATAACACGAGAACCCGCGTGTGTCTCGAACGACACTGGAATTATTAAAAAAAAATTGATATAGCCCGCAAATTGTCTGTGAGCTAATTTCCAGCTACAAGGAGAAAAAGAAAAACAGACTATGCAGGAGGGAGATGCAGGGAACAGGGATTGTGTGTTCTGCAAAGAGAGTTGGAGGTAAATAATTTTGCAGTAACTGTTATGCTGATGTTGTGGCTGATTCACACTGCGTGATTGTCACTCGTGTGAACGAGCACTGATTTGCCTCCGATTTCGGGCATTTGTCTGCGATTTTGCAAAACCTGTCGGCGAGTGAAAAATCGGGCTAAAATCGTGCAGTGTGAACTCGGCATTACCAAACGAACACACTCACAGTGTCAGACACATGGAGACCTGAGAGAGAGAGTGAAGGGAGATGTAGAAGGGTGTGGTTATTCATGCACTTCCCTTTCCTCTGATCTTTATTAGTTCTGACACTCAAATCTCACCTCCAATAGTCCAAACTTGCAGCAGACTCTAAGCTCTACTATACACCGTCTGGATTCACATACAGATTCCTCACCAGCCATCAGGATGTGGGTTATACTGTTGGGTCTCGCCTCTGCATTACTGGCCTCCTCGAGATCAGAAGATACCACGGGTAAGAAGACTCGTCAGAGGAACATTACACATCTTTCTTTGAAGTTTGACTATGAATTTTACAGAGTATGAATGGAGCAGCGCTAAGTGTGTGTCTGAGGACAGATAAACAGCTGCTCACTCGTTTATTACAGAGGAAAGGGAGATATGCTGAGCAGTTGTACATTTCAGCACTACAAAAATAAACCAGTAAAGAGCCAGAGGAGTTTAAGCTGTTTTTTCCTCACATTAAAATATTCAACTTGTGTTGTAGCATCTCTGTGTTGATACTGTGGTATCATTTTGTTTTGAAGTTTGTCACATGTACACTGTCAGAAAAAATGTGTCAGATATGTACCTTCGGGGGTACAACGGTTTGTCACTGGGGCAGTACCCTAAAGAGTACACCTATTGTACCCTTTCACATGGGTACATATCTGTACCCTTACAGTATGTACCTTTCAAAGGCAAATATGTTCCTCTGCTGACTAAACTGTAACTTATAGTGCTATGGTACCATAATGTACATTTAAAAAAGGTGCAAATTTGTCCTTTTAAGGTTACTGCCTCAGTAACAAGCCTTTTGTACCTTGTGATGGCAAATTTGTACTCCATACAGCACATTAAAAAGGCCAGAATGCTGTTTATCACATTTATTAAACATTCAAAGCTATTACATTATCACATTTTTCACAGGATGCATGTTTTAAGCTCTATCACGATGTGTCATAACAGGATGCATGTATTGCGCAATTTAACTTTAAAAAAAAACTGTTAACATTTTAGACTCAAAATTGTAAACAGCAAGAATAAAAAAGCAATCTTTTTCCAACAGTACACATTTGATTAATTGTAACTAAACATTTAATTTGAACTTTTTAAACATTCTTGAGGATCACAAATAATTTATCATCAGCAGAGTATGTGTGTAATGAGTCCACTGGAGGCGAGCGTAGTGAGAACCCAAGTGCAGCTTTATTTAATCCAAAAAGTGTCCAAACAATAAACAAAGACTTGACTTGAGTTGACTTGACTTGACTTGGCATGACCAGACAAAGCATAAACAGGCTTGACATAAACAAAACCAAGAACTCACCAACAGAGGTTACAGGGACAATACTCGACAAGAGACAATAGGCTTGTTCGAGATGAAGCCTGCCACCGGCTGGTGAGAGTAACCGCTTGCAGTCGGGGCGGAATTAAAAGAAGAGACGTCAAGTCAGACACTTTCTGCTCCTGGTAGTGATGCTCACATGGTGTTTGCAGTCTTATCACAGATGAAGAGAAATAAATGCAATATTTGTCAAATACACAGAAACGTTTTTATGAGCAACAGAAACACTTTTTATATACTGCTTAATACAGCGCCATCTGTTCAAGAATAAAGTTCAGCATATAAATATATAGGCTACTAAATACTGATAAAGTGGGAGTATATATGCTTTTATCAGTGTTTTTGATAAAAATGACTCAAGATAACAGTGCGACTACACTAAAAAAGCTTTTACTGTTATAATAACACAGATTTGTGAGCATTATTGGAATTGAATTGTTAGAATAAACACGCAACACACGTCGTGCTTGTCATCACAGAATCTAACCAATGAGAATAAAGTGTGTCGTCGTCAAGGCTTTCGCAGCCAATTTTGAGCAACTTGCAGCGCCTGACTTCGGCGGCTAGTCTCGTTTTGCTCTCGCGGTACTTTGACGGCACATGTGATTGTAAGGCAGCTGCAGCGCTGATCAAAAGGTGCGTTCGACTTGAAGCACGGCTACAGACGGCAGTCAACGAGAGTAGCCGCTTGCAGTCGGGGGCGGAGTTGAAAATGGAGCCGTCAAGCCGGACACATTCTGCTCCCGTTAGTGACGCTCGCGCGGTGTTTGCATACTCTATCACAGATGAAGTGAATTAAATGCAATATTTGTCAAATACACAGACGTTTCAGAAACGTTTTCATGAGCAACAGAAACACTTTTTATATACTGCTTAATACAGCGCCATCTGTTCAAGAATAAAGTTCAACGTAAATATATATTATTTAAATACTAATAAAGTGGGGGTATATATGCTTTCATGATAAACGTGACTCAATATAACATTGCGACTACAGTAAAAAGCTTTTACTGTTCTAAAAACACAGATTTGTGGCCATTATTGGAATTGAAAAGGTTAGAATAAACCTGAAACACATGTGATTGTTGTCATGCAGTGAATCTGGCCAATCGTGAAACAGCTGTGTCGTCATCAACGCTCCTGCAGTCGCTCTGGAGAAACTGCGGCGGCTGAGTCAGTCGGCTGCTCTCGAAACGCCCTCGCGGTGCTTTGATGCCACACGTGACAGTAACATGGCGTCGGCGAGTCTCAAGTTGGACAAATTACTAACTGGCATGCACTGCTTCAAGTCAGATTGTGATCGATCTGCGCAGTGCTGCATGAAGTCGAACGCACCTAGTGTCGGACAAATGTTCTAACCAGAATGCATTGCTTTTGTCAGGTGGCTGCCGATCTTTGCGGCGCCGCATGAAGTTGAACAAGCCTATTGGCAACATGAGGGCTATAAATACCAAACAATAACATGACAAACATGTCACATGACAAACCCAACCAAAAGGTGCGTTCGACTTAACGCAGCGCTGCACAGATCGATCAAATTCTGACTTGAAGCAGTGCATGCCGGTTAGAAATTTTGTCCGACTTGAGATGGCGTAGACGTCATGTGACTGTCACGTGTGGCATCAAAGCACCGCGAGAGCTTCAAGAGCAGCCAGCTGACTCAGCTGCCGCAGTTTCTCCAGAGCGACTGCAGGAGCGTTGATGACGACACAGCTGTTTCACGATTAGCCAGATTCACCGCATGACAACTATCACGTGTGTTTCGGGTTTATTCTAACGTTTTCAATTCCAATAATGGCCACAACTCTGTGTTTTTAGAAAAGGGTATATATGCTTTTATCAGTGTTGTATGATAAACGTGGCTCAATACAACAGTGCGACTACAGTAAAAAAAGCTTTTACCGTTCTAAAAACACAGATTTGTGGCCATTATTGGAATTGAAAAGGTTAGAATAAACCCAAAACACACGTGATTGTTGTCATGCAGTGAATCTGGCCAATCGTGAAACAGCTGTGTCGTCATCAACGCTCCTGCAGTCGCTCTGGAGAAACTGCGGCGGCTGAGTCAGTCGGCTGCTCTCGAAACGCCCTCGCGGTGCTTTGATGCCACACGTGACAGTAACATGGCGTCGGCGAGTCTCAAGTTGGACAAATTACTAACTGGCATGCACTGCTTCAAGTCAGATTGTGATCGATCTGCGCAGTGCTGCATGAAGTCGAACGCACCTAGTGTCGGACAAATGTTCTAACCAGAATGCATTGCTTTTGTCAGGTGGCTGCCGATCTTTGCGGCGCCGCATGAAGTTGAACAAGCCTATTGGCAACATGAGGGCTATAAATACCAAACAATAACATGACAAACATGTCACATGACAAACCCAACCAAAAGGTGCGTTCGACTTAACGCAGCGCTGCACAGATCGATCAAATTCTGACTTGAAGCAGTGCATGCCGGTTAGAAATTTTGTCCGACTTGAGATGGCGTAGACGTCATGTGACTGTCACGTGTGGCATCAAAGCACCGCGAGAGCTTCAAGAGCAGCCAGCTGACTCAGCTGCCGCAGTTTCTCCAGAGCGACTGCAGGAGCGTTGATGACGACACAGCTGTTTCACGATTAGCCAGATTCACCGCATGACAACTATCACGTGTGTTTCGGGTTTATTCTAACATTTTCAATTCCAATAATGGCCACAAATCTGTGTTTTTAGAAAAGTAAAAGCTTTTTTACTGTAGTCGCACTGTTATATTGAGTCCGGTTTATTATTCAACACTGATAAAAGCATATATACCCCCACATTATTATATTTAAATAGTACATGATTATGTTGAACTTTATTCTTGAACAGATTGTGCTGTATTAAGCAGTATATAAAAAGTGTTTCTGTTGCTCATAATAGAGTTGGGGTACTCGGACTCGAGTCCGGTCTCGAGTACAGTTTTTTAAAGGACTCGGACTTGTCACGGACTCGGAAGCATTTTTACTCTGACTTGACTCGGACTCGAGCCTTTCGGTCTCGGAAAATATGTCCGAGTCCAACCGAGTCCAGGGACAGTTGACGGAAATGTCACTGACTCAATGCATTATGACGAAAGTGATATTCAGTATTTGCATGTGCTTTCAAGTCTTGTCCAGTACTTGAAAGTCGACGGGTTTCTGTGCTCACACACCGAAAGCGCGCTCACAGAATAACGCGCCTTTCAGTCAGCGTGCGAATGCCGAGTTCTTTCGCTTAAGTTCTCTTAAGTTTTGTTATAGTAAGATACAGTACAAGGTTAAGAAGCTTACTTAAATGTAAAATGTTTTTTCTCTATTTTGCAATAAAAGACGGCTTCCCTTATTGATCACGTCTCGGGTAGATTGCATGTTTTCTTGCACGGTGGGATGTTGGACTCATGAAAAATAATCACGTAGTTTGTATTTGCCAAAACTGATTTACCGAAGTCAAAACACGGACGGAATTGGCGTTAGTATTAAATTGTGATTTAATTGTGATTCACTTAATGAATACTGCGTGAGGGAGCAAGAAACAGGCCATGGGAGGTCACGTATGGGACACATAAATTAAGCCCAATATACGGGACGTCCCAGCTAATACGGGACGGTTGGCAACCCTAGCTTTCCCCTGCCTGTTCTGGCATCCTGGCGCACAGCAGCTGTCCACCATGTTGAAATAGTAAGGTTTGTAAGGTCTAAATAGTCTGGTTTTAAATAATTGTTGTACACCTGTCGATACCAATGCTACAGCCGCTCTAGCGCTCTCCTGATTGCCTGCCAAAATGGTGGAGTTTAGAGTGCGTGACGTCAATCTCCGGAGCTCTATATTTAATGTATACAATTAAGATTATTTTTACATTTACTACTTCATGAAATGTCTGTAGTAGCCTAGACTATTTCTGTAGAAGCCTT